CGCCAGCTGCCGGAAATGATAAAAACTGGCCCGTACAACCGCATTCACCTGATGTTCCATTCTAAAATCAGAGTCTATTTTAACACCCACGGTTGACTGCACGTACCGTTCTAAGCAACCCAAATCAACTGGGGGAAAATCACCAGAGTTATTTGGGCCAAACACTATAACTTCGGTTTTCGCGTCATTTAACTTCAATAGATTTAAAGCCATCCAGTTCCTAACGTCATCATAACATGACAGTAAAGAAACAACTGAGGATGTGTCCCTTCCCCTCATTGGCATGTACATCTGCATGTCGTCCGCATAACAATGAAAAGAAACACCATGTTTTCTGAAATAAAGCCAAGAGGAAGTAAATATAAAGAAAAGAGCAGGGGCCCCAAAACTGAGCCCTGCGGAACTCCAGATACCAACGGGGTGAACGAGGACTCAACATCATCAATACCAACAGACATCGTCCTATCCGACAGATAAGACCTGAACCACTCCAAGGCAGTACCACGGATGACCACTAACTCCTCATGTCGAGAAAATAGGATATCTTGGTCAACCGTGTCGAAAGCAGCACATATGCATATGTGAGGGGTGGGGGGTACTTGTTACGTACTTGTTGGATGTTACGTCAGCGGCTGAAAGATCAAAGGACTCAGCCAACGTTAAAGTTTGGTTTGCAAGTTTATTTCACTCGACGATTTCACGGAACCGGAGACAGACATAAAAACCATTTTGCTGCCCGTACATCCACTGACGATCCTCTGACCAGATGCATTCAACAGGACAGGTGCGATTTTTAATTATGCTACGTATTCAGCAATATACAAGGCTCGCGACTGTGATCGCCAAAACGAAATGTGAGTTACCAACGAATTACTTTGGATATCTCAAAAACTAAAACCCTCGAGAACACCATCTCTCTTTACAGGTCAAAGTAAGTGTACAGTTTATAACTTTAATCCCAAACCATAAATGTGAGACATAAAATGTGCCATCGAAATAATTTTCCACATTGTCTGTTTGTTAGCTAATCTCTGATTTACAAAAGAACTCATATTAATCCCAATCTGGCCCCAGAAACAGGTAAGTATAATTTTATTTGCTTTAATTACATTTTGTATAGTAGTCATGAACCAATCATCTGTGCCTTAGTTTCTTAAAACCTGAGCTACAGCTCCTCTGGTCTTCTATTTATCTTTCAGAGTGAGGAGAGAGGAAGTGATGGAGGGCAGGATGAAGTGTAAGACCTTTCATATGCATGGTAAATATCAGTTTATCTAATGATGTTAACGATTTTATGTAGTCATCGGTTCCCACTTCATCTGAATTTCTAAATATTGCATTTTGTCTTATATTTGTTTCTTTTCAGGAGTATGGAGGAGAGGAGAAACCAAGGAGCAGAAGTCCTGGTCCGGTTTGGTACAGGCCCCCGCTGGATGGGTTCGGGAACCTTTGTGAGGGGCGACCTCACAGGGTTCCCGCCCTCCAGTGTGCGCGTGTTTTAATCTCCTGTATTTCTCTGGTCATGTCGTCGAGTCTCTTATTTGTCTCCATAAGTAGTTGCACAAAACCTTTGAAGTTATCTTGTTGTTGGCTCAACAGTGCGGTGTACATCTGCTTCTGCTGACTCAACATCTCTGTTACTTGCGCCGCTGAAATATAATCCTCTTCTGCTTCAACCTCCTCATTCGCATCTGATTTATTAGCTCTTTTCCCTCTTGGAGGCATTGTAATAGTTGTAGAATTTGTTCAAAGACTTGAAAATGTAGAAGATATGAAAAATCATAGAACAGACAAGAGGAGCAGTAAAGACGTCTGCTCTCGCAACCCGGAAGGATAGTTGTGCATGTGGCCCCAGTCCGGTCTAGGCCAGCTGAGTAGAGGCTGTCAGGCGCGCCTATTTAGAAGCTTTAGTTACTTTTCATAATTTTAGTTTCTTTTAGTTACTTTTCATACCTTTATTTTCTTTGCTTATACATATTAAAACTGTATTGATGGCTGCTGTTTTTTACTGAGTGAAATTTTTTAACTGTATACTACAAATTCTGTAGAGACAGGATGTCTGTATCTTCAAGTTACCAGATGGCCTATTTTACATTTTAACAAAGACTTGTTGGCCTGTTTTGCACCTTCACCTAGACCCGTTTAGCATATTCCAAGTTCTCCTTTGTCATGGGGTATCTTGCAGAGACAGGGGGCCTACAACCTGAGATGATGACCTGGCTCGTTTAGCATACTCACTAGGTCCTACAATAGCATCACACACACAGGGGGGCCTGCAGCCCAGACCACCCAATATTCAGTGTTCATCGATCAAGCTGCCACCTGAGAAGCACACACACACACCTGGTTTAGATCACATTTCAGCAAGCAGACGCAAGCAGGGGTTGACCTGCTCACGCCGAATGGCCAATAGGATTATGAAGTGTGAAATGTTGTACCTCTGTCCAGGGCAGGCCTAGCTCAAGAAGATAAATGTAATGAGAAGATGTAACTCGTTGTTCAGAGAATGGATTTCCTGCGGGAGCTGTCTCTCTGATCCCAGCGCTGTAAGACTTCACCTGTGCCCAGACTTTGAGTAAACTTCCTGTTGATTTTAAACAGTCCTCTTCTGTCTTCAGTTCTCGCGCTTTCAATAAAATAACTTGGGTAAAATCTAACAATAGTAAAGAAATGACATTCAAACCTGCATCACTAAAGATATCAGCAGAAGAAAATAAAAGAAACCTGACAAACTTTGCGTGTGTAACAAGACCGATCAGGTGTTAATGTTAACGTTACCTGGGCATGTGCTTTGCATTATAAGAAATCAACAACTTTGTGTCCCTCCAATAGAGTGTTCTCGTTTATCTTCATGGTGCCAAACCAGACACAAACACCATTAGGACCGATTATAATAATAAACTAAACTCAACCCTTGTACGTCCCATTAATATATTATAACAGCTTGATACCGAATCGCATGATGGAGACCATTCTGCCCACGGATGTATTAAGGGGAAACGGTAGATTTTTCAATGTCTGTAGTATGAGAATGCCGTAACATTAATACATTCACTTATTCTATTTAGAATGAAAGTAAAAATCACATGCAATTACAAACACACCTTTCATCTAGACATGCTTTTATTAGGAGATGGAAATCGCCTCAAGGCGTTTTACAAACGATGAACACATTTATTAGCACTTTTATTCCATTTCTGAATCTGTGTGTATGTACATGCACATGTGTGTTTGTGGATCTGTTCATGTTTGGTTGCTTAAATGCATCTGCCCAATCTGTGCCACAGCTTCACCGATTCCTGTGGAATGTTGATCATGTCCATCCAGTGATGAAGCCAAGGGCTTCTGGTGTACATGAAGGGCCCTAACACCAGCACTCCCAGTAGGACTGGAGGCTCTGGGAGAAAGATATATGAATGTCACTGTATTAGGGCAATATTAGTGTCCTGCTCCCCCTTGAAGGTGAAGTTAATTTTATTTTATATATAGCGGCAGATCACAACAGAAAAAGGCATGATGAAGTCGTACCAAAGTCAGTGGCATTAACCACCAAGCTGTGGATTTCAGTATTTTAAGGGCAATTCTTCAGCAATCAGCATCCATACAGATTTTCTTCAGGAAATGCATTTGTCTAGTTGCTTATAAGATTTATAAGGCCCTTCCCTGCATCCATAGTAGTAGAAGTCTTCTGGATGTTCAAAAAGCTCACATACTTTGAGGCAAGAAAACCAGCACACCATACGTTTCAGAATGCTTTATATACAAGTTGCACATATAACATAAAGACTTAATAGAAGATTTATACACTTTGTACATCAGCTGACTAGAAACCACTGACAGTACTAACAGAAGTGACATGAGGAGAGACTCGAGACATTTAACACACAAGTCAAAGAAATTCACAAAATTATGAAAAAGTCAGCCTTGTTAACTCACCAGTTTGCAAGGTAAATAGAAAATCATTTGCAAACTAAATATTCTTTACACCTTGCAAGTATAATAACATCTTTCAAATGGACATACAGTACAGTTACTTTGTATTCACTCTTGTCCCTGTTTTGAGAGCTAATACTGTATGCAGTAGCTTGTGTTTTTAGCTTGGCTCACTAATAACTTTCTTTGAGGAAAAATGAAATCTGATTTTAACAAAATGCACGGTTCAGACAAGGGCTATCCATATTTACTCACTTTCAGTGTCGTGTGGGCTCTTAACATAAACATTTCACCCACAATAAGGCACAGTGACTAAAAAAATTTTGTTCCATTCAGAACTGGGAGGAGGGGAAATATTTTGTAACATTTTGTATAGACACGTCTTTTAGGAGTACAACACAAGTTAAACATTGTGCCCTTTTGTAAAGCAACTAAAGACTGCTGCAGACATGGTACTATTGTAAGACACTGAACAGTGAAATTCTGAGAAACAAGTAGTAGTAATCATACTCAACACAATAATCAGTAAGTTGGCTGGCAGAGGTTATCAGAAACCGGCAGCCTTTTAACAACAGACTGATCTTTACTGGGGACCAGTTTCTGCTGCAAAGCGCTCAGTGTGTCTGGTTTGGGAGTGGAGAGTTGGTCAGTAGACTGTTGTCCTCTATTTGTCCACCAGAGGGAGTACTGGTCCATTTATTGTAATAGCAGAGGGAGCTATGACTGTTCACATCTGAGACTTATTTGTCTTTGACTGGTTTTCTTGTCAGCGGCCAGGAGAGGGGCTGCAGGCCGAGGGCCCTTTTGCACATGCGGGTGCTGCACTTCAGAGTAGAGCTAAAATCACACTGGACCGCAGGTGGTGTGGAGTGATTGGGTTAGAAAGATTGGTTGCATATTGTGCTGTTGTCGCTGGCCAGGGCTGCTCAAAGGAGCAGGTCTAACTGTTGTCCCCCTCCTCCTCTTCTTCTTGCTGGTTGTTGGTCTGTACCTCTGGCACCCGAAAACACACCTCAAAGAAGTTGACCAGAGATTGGCTCAGGTGCTGCTGTGTCCCCTCACTGTGTAGAAAGTGTCCCTCATCTGGGTAGATCTGTAGAGAAATGCAGAGAAGCAGATTTATCTGTAACTGCAACTCAGTATTAACTGTTAGTTACCTTTTAATTGATTTGTTAAAAAAAAAAAAAGGTCTATATAATGTAGGGGGAAAGGGGAACCGCCAGTCAGTTTTCTAAAACCCACCAACCTTCTCCTTTAAATGCTTAAAAGTAAAACTTTGCACAAATGAAAAGAATTCCTAAAATATGTTCAGTAAATACACTGAGCTGCTTCAGCCCTAATTAATCTGCCATGACCAGTGTCTTACAGTGTCTATCGTTAGCTACTTTAGATTATTGTATTACAGAAATTACTGGGGACATTTGCTGATTGCTTGACTTTTCTTTGAACTACATTGCATTATTAACCTGTAATTGTGCTCGTGTCCAGAGTAGTAGCTGTTCAAAATGTTACATACTGTAGGTTCACAGTGCAAGATTCACATTTTTCAAACCTATCTTAAGAACAGGTATGATTCAATACATGTATTAAAATATTTAAAGTTCATTTTTGTAATTGGGCATCATAAATTTGACTACATAATCCATACGTAGCTGTTCTGAAGTGTTTAATACGGTCTTCTTCTGTTCCCTGGGCAGTCTTTTTAGCATGAAATACAATTTTTCAGTTACTGTCCCTCTACTGCAGCTCAGAAAGAAAGCAGGGCTTTGGAAGATGCCCACTTAATTTGACTAACTCAGACAGCTGGGATAACCTGGGGCTCTTGGTTATGTCTCCCATCTATTACACTGCACATTAGAAAGGGATGGTGTCACATCCAGTATAGAGAGTAACAAGTACTCAGCACCATTTCAGTGGGCAATACAGTACATGTGAGTGTTTTAAAATAAACTTAAAATATGAGCTTCTCTTTTAACTGATTTAAACATAGCTTTTGATTCATTTCCTCTAGATTTACCGTACATCAAACTGAAGTTAGCGTCGTCTTCGTATTATCAGGAGCAGGTTAAATTAAATTCAACAAATTAAAATTAGGTTAGGTTAGGCAAAACAAATTAAATTAGGTTAAGAAAATTGTTTGTGATTTTAATAAACTACAGCTCACCTGTAGAGTGTAGTTGGCCTTCTCGCTGATTAAATGGTTGATAAATTTGGCTGTGTGCTGGAAGTGAACCTTTTCTGCAGAGAACATAAGATTGGAGAGAACCATTAGCCACCAATCATGTTGGTGTTGTACTGACTGTGGCAATGAGAAACATGAGACGTTCGCTACCATCAGCAGTTGGGTGAATTATCATATACTGCTTCTCCAGAAGCTGACCCGCTCTGTGTGCTAAATTTGCCATCTGAAGGAAAGAAGCGGAAAATCCACCATGTTGTTAACATCCTCTTATTAATGACCTTTAACTCCATCTCCGTTCATTTCAGAGAAACATCATGGTGCATGATTTCACTCAGGTAACAGAAGCATTGAAACGTTACCGTATATACTCTAGAATCCGTCTTTGAGCCAAGGTATCGCTCTGAAAATGCCGATGCTGCGATTTAGAAAAGAGACAAACTGGGTTAGAAAGGGTGGAACACCTTTAAACACTGTCATGACATCTAGAAGAAAATATCTGGAAAGTTGTACCATATAGCTCGAAATCTGTGATGGGTGAGACTGCTGTTCCACATTTAAGTTGGGTAAACTCTTCAGAGCTCAAAAGCATTGTGGCTAAATATCCTCCATAGGCCTGATAAAGGAGAGACAGAAACATCAAGACGCCAAATTAATTACATTTGGTGACAGTTTTTATATGAGGCAGTTGCCATATCTCTATAAAGTAGGGATGCACGCCCTTAACAGTTGACTGATAGTAAGAATTCCAACTGATTAATACTATCAGTTTAAAAAAATTAATAAATTAAGCAGTTTGCTGGAAATTAGGCTATAGGGCCTACAGATCAACTAATGGAAGTGAGCAGTAAATGTAATCAGACATTCTTTGCCAGACTGGACACTATCTTTGCATTGCTGGGCCATCAGTATCATCGGACCAGGTATTCTTCACCGCGAGTCTCACAGTAAACAGACCAACTCCACAGTATGTTGGCATGTCCCCGTTTCAGAAAAAAAAACAAAAAAAAAAAAACGGTAGGCTGTGCAAGTTTCTATTTTGTTAACTTGTTGGGAATTTTGATTATTAAGCCAAGAATGAAAGAGGAGGCTTTCAGAAATTTCAGTGTGTGTTCCCATTAATCTCAGTGCTCAAAGTGGGCCGGTACACAGTACCAGCACTAATGCATTTTAGTCTTTGGTGTACTGGCACTTCTCACAAGCTGTCAGCATTCAGTTCTGCCCTCTCCATGGGTTTGAAATACAGTATGCTGCATCTTGCCTAGAGAGCAGACGAGCAGGGAGTGGTGACAACGAGCTCCACCAAAAGAGACCTGCGCTCCCCCAGAAGCAACACAAATTCAAGTTTAGGTGGTCCCAAATGACCGTATTTGATTTAGGTACAGCAATTCCAGTCATAAAACAAACTGTCCTACACTTATCCTTCCAGGGCACCAAAGTTGCAGTTCTAAGGTTTACTTGTACTATTTGCCGGGGCTATTTGTCCAGCCCTACTATAAAGGCATGCAGTGAACTGCAGTTAAGACACTGTGTTCCTACCTTTCCATAGACTCCCATTCGATTCTTATCAATGTAAGGCTCTTTGGATATGAACCTGAAAATGAAAGAAAATCAGTAAAGGTATTAGGCCCTTGGCTACAGCCTTGCTCACAGTTGTCACGATCCTGACCTGAGAGCCTCCAGCTGGTCCCTCTCCTCTAGTTTTCCCAGCTTCCTTCTGACTTTGTGGAGAAGGTTGGTGCCCTGAAAGCCACTGCCGTGGCCATCAAAGCGGATGACGATGGTGCTGAAGCTGCTGACCAGAACTGTGGCCCAGTCCACCTGGAACTGCTCCGTCACCATCTGCCCACCAGGCGTACCATCCCTGTGGAACATACAGAATGGTCAGATCCAGCCTTCTTGAACATTCTGTTTGTTGTTAACAGTTCTTATGAGTCACCCAAGTGATATTCCCCCATTTTAAATGGCAGTAATTGTTAATTATACTTACACTAGCAGCAATAAGGGGTACTGGGCTGTGTTTACGAAAGTAGCTGGCTTCAGAATCTGCATCGTGAGGGCTACACACATGAGACAGGGTTAATAATAATCTTATAATACAAGATGACTGACTATAATTACCTCCACTAAGGAGCTTGTTGGTTTGGTTAGCTGGATTGTTCACAGCATCATTCAAAAAGTAATGAATGAATTTTGATGACATTTTTTTGTAGAGGTAGGGTATGACCCATGGAACGATCCATTAGGTTTTGGTGCTGATCTGGATTCAGGAAGTTTTAAACAGATTCTTCACCATTGTGAGTGTTGGAAAGACTGACTCTGTGAGAGTCCCTTTGTTGTGAAAGTGTGAGGCTGAGCACTGTAGTGAAGACGGGTGGAGCTAAAAATCATATTATGAGGGTGAGACTATCCTGGGAATATTTTAGGTGTAATGGCATTACAGGCAATTTAAGCTGCCTTGGTGGAGGCTTACATTCTGAGTGCTGTCTAGATGAAATTACTAATTCAATATGAACACGTACTGTAGTCATCTATGGTGATGGTCTTGTTGTCCACTATGGGCATCTGTGTGTTGTTGTATGTGTGGTTTACTCTCTCGTTTGTCTCCACATCAAACACCTCTGCAGAAAACAGGTCATGTTAGTTTCTCATTGACAAATCTGTTCATCAGTGAAAACATCTGCAGTTAATTCAGTACAGTTTATTGTACTGCTGATGGAAAAGCACCCCACTACAGAGAGGACACTCACTCTGTTTGTCTTCAGTCATGTAGATAGCAACGCTCGGTATGTAGGGGCCTATGAAGAACAATTTAGGTAAAGACAATTAACAGGAGTGCAATTAAAAACCAAAATCTGATAAGCATGATACAGTATTACATAAGATGAGTGTGACTGAAGGCCTAAATGTGTAAAACAAATCAGTAACCAAGACACTGAAACCAAACTCTTCTCTGCAGAAACATCTCACCATCTTCAGACCTCAGCCAAGTTCACAGTTAATAATCTAGTACTGTCCTATGGGGAAGTGGGTTTATTATTTCACAATGGTGCTACTCTCTAAAGAGCCAATTAATGAAGAAATCCACTAAAGTGCCAGGAGTGAGTCCCCTAAACAAATCAGCTTCCATGGAAACGACATGGTTATTTCTGTGTCGAAGCCACAGGGGCAAAAAAAGGGTCTCTGAGGAACAGAAGTATATCTAGTAAACAAGAGTGCTAACCACGACTTGGTCTCCTTTCCATTTATTACATAGTAAAAGCCAAACCCTCACTGCCAGCAGCTCCATGCAGTCAGACAAGACATTTATTTCTGTGGTTAGTCACAGGGATCCACCTGTGGTTTGAGGTTAACTGCTAATGTCCAGTTCGATATAGGCTCTCAACCCTGACATAGAGCCCTAATTCATTTATACTTCCTACGCCAACACGGCTCCCTGCATCCTCTAGAAGATGCTCGTGCTCAACAGTGCTGGGATGTGAACACACACACACACACACAAACACACTCCACTGATTTAAAAAAAAAAAGCCTCAACTCAAAAGATTCAAGGTTGAGGATGCTCACCTTTACAGTTGAGTAAGAAGTACTGCATGTCGTGGCTGAATGAAACATCCACATAGCCGCACTTGAACTCACAAGACAGGCAGCAGCGGTTAAATGGAGGGATTGTGTCAGCACTGTGGAATGGCACCGAGTAAGTTTTTTTTTAATGCCTTAAACAGCACTCATTGAAGTGCTTTTAATTTGTAATAAAATCCTACCTGTACAAGTGTCGTCGCTTGGGATCGTCCTCTGTGCTCAGGAAGTATCTGAGAAACATCAACGTTGTCATCAAAATGACCATGACTCTGCAGTACTGGCTGGTAAAAATGTGCATGCAAAGATACATGTCTTACATGAGGTTCCTTTCATGATTGTAGGCCAAGATGCTGGTCACATCCCAGTCACCAGAGGTCAGGGACTGAAGTATATCTGTGCTAGTGTTGGGCTGGGAGAGAACAACACAAAGGTCCACTAAATATTCTGCACCAAACCTCAAAAGACAAATATTATACCATTAGTTTTGCCATTACTTACCATTGAGGTTGACATAGAGATGTGGAAAAACTTTCCTCTCCCACCCTGAGGGATTGCCCTGGTGAAGAAAAACTTGTGTCCATCTTGGGAAAAGAGTGGCGCCTCGTTCTGCAGAAAGGAGAGAACAACATCTGCATGTGTACTGTGTATTAAAAAACACTGCCGGAGGGCTTTTTCTACCTCCTATTCATTCAAACTCAGACACATGGAGAAAACAATTTTTTTTTTTAACCAGCAGCTACACAACAGCAGCACAGCAGTATTCTGATCACATACCTGTCTGTGCAGCCAGCTCTCACTCTCATCCTCATGTTTCTGAAAATTATAAGTGTATATGAGTTGAAAGCTTTTGAGTCAAACATCTGGCGCAGAGGTATAAACTATAGGTGACATGGGCACTAATTTGTTAGTACAGGGGTTTTCAAATAACTGTGATCCAAAACCACCATTCTGACTAATAAGTAACCCGAAGACCTCAATTATGAGGTGGCTACACCGGATGGACAATATTTTAAACCTGAAAGTTAACTTGGGTTTTTAAAATCTTATTTATTTGGATGAATTTGATTATTCACAAACAATAGGTAATACATGGAAATGATTGAAAATAAATTCCTACAGTGAAACTACATTAATGAAGACATGATCAGGGACCACCTGCAATGCCTTTGTGCACCACTACGGGACTGAGGACCACTGGTTGAAGACCCCTGTGCTAGTAAGTTAAAACTGTTGCTTTAATGGAATTTGATCACAATCAGGAAAAAAAAACAGAATATCACCAGAAATACACAGAAAATTCACATTTAAATTTGCTGAATGTTCTACCTTGATGCAGACTCCAGTTGTAGCCTCACACAGCGTCAGGATCGAGTTGTTCTGGGCTCTGTTCAGCCAGTTGACAGCCAGTTTGGTGCTGGTGGCCCATTTCACCATGGTGATATAATATTCCCTCCTGCAAAACCAGAGGGTGAGAATACATCATTTGCACAACCTCCATCTCCACAACTTTAAGAAAAGGCCACAGGGCTATTTTTAGTGCTCCCTATACAATATACAACCTTCATACCGTCACTCACCCTATTCGGGGGTCATCAGGTTTCTTCATCACCACTGTGTGCAGGGGACCGTTGAGGCTCACCACTGACAGGTACACCACAGGGTTTTCCTCACCTGCCTAAAAGAGCCAAGAGGAAATGAGATAGGCTAGACTGGATTTCAGTTTAAGACGGTGAGAAACTGCCTTTCTGTTGTTGTTAAACTAACTCTGTCCAAGTCTTCCATGTACAGTGGTGGAATTTAACTTGTTTATTCAGGTAGGTAGTTGCACTTTACTGAAGTACTTCTATTTTATGACCATTTATACTTTTACCCCACTACATTTTATAGGTGGACATATTGAACGTTTTACACTTATTTGTCTGTGTAAGAAACAGTTTATAAAATATGTACTTTATAGAATCAACTACCTACAGCATACTGTATATAGTCATTACCGTTAGTCTCACCTTGACAGTAAAACGATGATTTCATGATTATATTCCAGTACTGTATAGGAGAAAATTAATGCTCTGACTGGAGCCATTTTACATAATGATTGTTTTTACTGTCAATATTTAAAGTACATGTTGCTGCCACACGGTGGCGCCGTGGTTAGCGCCGTTGCCTCACAGCGAGAAGGTTCCGGGTTCGGGCCCCACCTGGGACCTTTCTGTGTGGCGTTTGCATGTTCTCCCTGTGCTTGTGTGGGTCCTCTCCGGGTACTCCGGCTTCCTCCCACAGTCCAAAGACATGCAGCTTAGGTTGATTGGTGTCTCTAAATTGCCCATAGGAGTGCATGTGCATGTGTGTGTGTGTGTGTGTGTGTGTGTGGTTGTTCGTCTATGTGTTAGCCCTGCGATGGATTGTGTGCCAGGGTGTACCCTGCCTTCGCCCGATTGCTGGCCGGGATTGGCTCCGGCCCGCCCCCCGACCCCCTTCCAGGGCCAATGAATGAATGAATGAATGAATGTTGCTGCCAATATTTTACAATGTAATATTATGAAAGCATGACTTCTTTTGTGGTATTGGTACATTTACCTAAAGATCTTAGCGCTTTCATCACTGTCTGTACAAAGCCAAAGTTTAGTTGTGAGATTACAGCTGAAATCAACTTGCCTTTGGGTAGTGATATTCCAGGCTGGCAGGGTACAGTGTTCCTGTGAAGAAGGGGATTTCCATCTTTGGCACCAGCGAGTCATTGAATGTCATGTAGGCCAGACGGAGCCCATCTGGAGACCACCAGTGTGCTATGTGGGTCTGTAGGATCTCCTCTGAAACACAAAACAAGCAAGAAATTTATTACACACTGGTAAGAATGCATGAAACCTGAGACCAAAACCGTCTTTCCCACCAGTTAATTTTTTTCTTCTTTTTTGTGCTATTGTTTACTATATTCTGTGCACTTAAGGATTGTAGATTTTTGGATCCTGATAACTCTATATGGAAAAAATAAACATTGATCTAATGTTCTCCCAAGACCAAGGTGACTTTGGGGAATTTACCCTGGAAAAAACTGTCAAATTCATTTAAACATTTAATGAATCCTGACAGTTAACATATTTGTCTGCCAGTTCCCTGCAATAAGTTTACTTGGCTGCCATTTCCTATTGGTTGCTGATAAAGACATTTGAAATACACAGCTTAATATTCATAGCATGTATGATTTATGGTGGCCACCTTTTGTGCTGTCCTCAGGGAAAAAAAAAAAAAAAATCAAGTAAATAACTTGTTCAAATTTAATTTAGAAACTAAAAAGTGCAACCACAAATTGAGTTGTAAATACTATGCACCATGATGGAGGTTTAATGCCTGTGAATCAAATGAAAAATATAGCTGTTATCAGAATGACCAAGATCTTCATTAATCAAGGACTGTCTCACATAACACATCTGTTGATGTGAAGGTAATTACAGTCTTTGTGGGGACCTTTTCCCCTCTTCATAATTTTCTAGCAAATCTCTGTTTTTCCTCTGTGCTCTATAAACAAGGCTTTCTTTGCCTAACCTAGTTGTGTTGTTCAAGATTTTATTGGTTAAAAACAAAGCCTTCGGTTTTCCACAGGGAAGGAGACGAACTTACTGTAACTGACGGAGCTGACATTTTGGAACAAAGACAATACATGCAGGAACACCTCCTCTCAAGAAATTATTATTAGTATTATTCTGTCTACTTGCTTTGCTTGCCATTTGAGTGTAAAAGCAGTTTCCCGACTAGTGACTTTCAGCCAGCAGGGGGCAGAAGCGCTCTGACAAACATTCAACTGTGCCTACATGTGGAGATCCAAACAATAGCCAACCTTGATGAAGACTGATTTTGTTGCATTGATGTTGTCAGACTATAATTATTTTTTCACCCTACAGTCTGTTATAACAGGTTCAAAATGGGCAAAGCAGACTCAGAGATTAAATCTAACTGCAGATTGAGTTCTTACTCTAAGGCCACCTCATTTGTTGGAGTGCAGCAGGATTTTCAAGGCCTGTGTCCACAAAGTGTCTGCCTACGCTATTTCTTCTGTAACCCAGTAGTAGCACAACAAAGGATTTATACTATTCCACTACGTATGAAAACTAGAGCATTTAATAACACTCCCGTTGCTCTTTGATGATGCCACTTTTACTGAAATGTAATGTCGACCATAGGATAAACACCAGATCGGTTAATACAAAACAAAAACAGTAGTATTTCCTGTCAGCGCTCCACAGACAGATTGTATGGTTTGTGGTTCTTATTCTCACACAGCCACTGTGACAAATCAGTGTTGCGGTGCTGTGGATTGACGGTGACACACTGCCCTCTTGACAATCTCTCCTGTGTAAACCTCCTAAACCTATGGCTTTACAGGAGGCATTGTCAGAGGCAACATCAATCCCTCAACTTCACTATGTTTAATCTCAATCAGATTTAAAACTCGCATGTTAGTTGATGATTGATTATGAACACTGACCAATACCAGAGGCTTGCACATAGTTGTAAGTATTATTTAAACCCACAGGACTGTGTTTTTGCATTTTTCTGTTAGTTTGTGAAGCATTGAGATCCTAATTCATTTGATATAGAAACTCTGTTCATCAACTGAAACAGTCTATTTGATAAAGTAGTGCAGCTATAAAAATGGCTTAATTTGTTGAATGTTTCCTACATTATAGTGTAATATATTGGAATTTTAATGGCTCTTGAACACAAAGTTTTAATTTTCTCACTTAAGGATGAAGATAATTTGCTGCACAACACTGTGTACTTGAGATAAATGAGGCATATTCATTGAACCATATTCAAACATCTGCCAAATCTATCTCAGCAGAACAACACAGTACATACTGTTAGCACTGTAAGCAATGTGCTTAAAAATAAAAAACATGCCACATGTTCTGTTTTTGTATGACAGCTTGTTATCCACTGATAAATCCATTAGAGTAAGGCCAAACTTTAGCACTGATAATGGATTACTTCTTTCATGTCAAATTCTGTGTCTACAGCAAAGAAATAATGCTATTAATGGAAAAACTGACTGGAGCCAACACTGAAGCAGTCCTTGCACTTCAGCAGAATTTCATATCTGGCACTTTGCAGTTATATTATACAATTACACTGCAATTGTTATCCCAAACCACCCTCTGAATAAATCGTAAATTAATAATTAGAACAAATAGAACTGTTCACTTAAATGTGGCAAGCTGTAAACAAGCTGCTGTACAAGTGGTATCTAACTGGAATATCTGTCTCAAATATTAAGCAATCAGAAAAATGTCTTGTACAGAATTACAGTTAAGCAGGCTTTCGAACATCTGCTGAATAAGACCACAGTGTTTCAGATGTGAATTAATTAAAATGGCCATAACACAAAGACAAGCCATGGGAAGTCTAAAAAAAGAAGGGGGGCACTGACAAACTGAAAAATAGCCAGCTGTGCTCTGTCAAATGGAATCATGCACATGAAAGCCCAGCACGCCTTAGGGAGGGGGGACGTAGGGGATAGGTGTCATAAGACAGCTTTATTCAGGTAAATACACTATAAGATTCTGCAGTGGAGTGTTGTAGCATCTCTCAGCTTACCGTTTTCAATGTGTGGGCCTGTGAATTTACTCTAATTTACTTGTACTGTTCTTATAGCATTGTATTAGCTTGTTGTTATTTTAGAGTATAGTATTGTTTTTTTGCCCCCCCCATTAAAAAAAAAAAAACTGAAAAAAAAATGAAGACCTATTGTAGGCTACCAAATAGCAGACAAAATTAGCAGCTAGCTGGTGAACATAATGAGCCACATACAACTCTAAGGAGTTGGTGGAGACCAGAGCAACAGAGCTGCAAGAAGTGTGAATACTGGACACGCATCAACTTTATTTGTTCCGTGTCTGTGGGAAGCAGAAATACACAAGCCTTTTACCAGCACATTCAACATGTTTACTTGAAATGTGATAATATTAATGTCATGCCTGCTGCTTGTGTCACTGCCCACAAAGTGGCCAGAAATTCACTACTGAAGGTTTATGAATTGTGTCATTCCAAACTGGGAGGCGGACTTTTTCTGTTTCCATGACAGTGCTCCTATGCAAAAAGCAGGGTCCACATGGTTTTCCCAGATTGGTGTGGAACGTGAGGCCTGCGGAGAGCCCCGACACAAATCCCATCTAATACCTTTGAGATGAATTAAGAGCCAGACTTTATCACCCAATGTCAGTCTCCAAACTCTAATTTACTCTCTAATGCTCTTGTGGGTGAATGGGAGCAAATTTATATGGAAAGCCTTGGCAGAAGAGTGAAGGCTGTTGGCATATTATAGTAGCTCTAGTTTTGAAATGAGATATTCATTGTGCTGCTTTGGTGTTCATGTACTTTTCATCATTTTATGTATATTTAGACTTCAGAATGTGGCCCGGTTTTATTCACTTCCTTCACTGCTGTTCACTCTGAAAGTGGCAGATTCCTACTCTCTCTGTGACCCTTAAGGAAAGTCCACTATTTACAACATGATATGATCCTGTGCTTTTGTGTGTGTATTTTGATGCAACTGTCTTACCCTCATACAGCCAGTCAGCAAGGCCATTGAAGATGACGCCCTCCTGACCGGTGGAAACCAGGCGGATTGCTCGGCTGTCTATTGTCGTTTTGTAGTAGATGTTGTTTTCAAATATGAAGATCTAGATAAAGACATGCAGAGCAGTGACTGTCATTAGTCTCTGAATCACTGTATGTAGTCTAGAATCAGGTTTTGCTCCATCGCTGGACTTGCAGCTAAATTTCTATTTCCTGCAGTGCCGTGCACATTTTTCATCAGCTTCTTTTTATCTACAGTACAAGCCTTTACACCAAACACGCTTGTGGTACTTTATCATAACAGGACTTTATCTTAATCCAGATAGAAACACAGCTCAGCTCAGTGACACTTACAAGCTAATATAGTTTCAGTCGACACCTGCCTTAAGCACTGTATTAATGGATATTTCCCTCATAATGGCATGAACTGGATTCCTCTCCAAAGCAGGATGATGCACTTTGTGTTGCTAATCTGGGTGACGGAGCTGGCTGAGACCCTGCAGGCACACACACATCACTGAAGACATACAGAACACAAGCACAACCGCACCCTAGTGTTTACCGAGACATTATGCCGTCTATTGGTGGTTGACGGTGGCTCAGTTAAACAGTGGGTTAGGTGTTCTGCTGATTTAAACCCTCAGTACCAATGATTGCATCACCTGAAGGAATTAATACTGATGAATGTGTGACACCTAAACTCCTCCATCAATTCACTCCAGTGTTTTTGCTGCTTCGTCTGGTGCCAGTATGATGGAGATGAATGCAGGATTGATCAGTATCCAAAGTTCAGGCTGTGTTTGGTGTGACTGGGCTGTCAGCTGAAGCCTCTTCACTTAAATCTAAGCTCCAAATCGCTGCCACAAGAATAAAAAGAGACATGGCTCCTTGTGCTCTGATCTAGGGATGCTGTTGAGAAAATCAAACACGTAAATAATAGCTTCAGCATCTGAGGAAAACAGATCAATGGTGAACACTGCAAACCTGCCACAGGAAAAGTTAAGAGACTCGGATAAAATTTGAAATTTCAGAATTCTAATTATTATTATTGGCAACAGGTGTCTCAAACCCTTGATACGGCTTCACAGTATTACCACCAAATGATTAAAAGAGGCACTTAAAGCTGCATTAACCAACTTCTCCCTCTAATTTTTGACCATTAAGGGTGATGTGAGAGTCAAAACAAACTCAAGCAGTACCTGAGTTTTGAAGGCAGGCCTTAAAATACATCCTATCAGAAGCTTCTAAAGCCATGACCTCATTTTCTAAATTTTCCAAGCTGTTTAAAGACACAATCAACTGAATGTATGTAAAATTCTGACCCACTGGAATTGTGATATACTGAATTAATCTATCTATATAAAAAGTTGGAAAAATTATTTGTCATGTATAAAGTACATGCCCTAACTGACTTGCCAAAATGGGTTTGTTAGCATGACATCTGTGGAGTAATTAAAGAAATCAGTTTTAAATGACTTCAGCCTAAGTGTAAGTTAACTTCAGACTTCAACTGTATTTGGAATATAAAGCCTGTGGTTTCTGGTGGCATTGCAGCAACACAATGTCAAATAAAGAGGTTTACATTTTAGCAATATGCACACATTAGTAATGTTTGTAGTGGATGCATCTACAGTAACAAGTCAATTATAAGGAGCAATTTTTATTCCCAATAATATTGATACAGTACCAACTGCAAGCCATGCATTTATCACTTCTAGACTTAATTATTGCAATGCTCTATACCATGGTGTTAGCCAGTCCTCCCTCGCTCGTCTCCAAATGGTGCAAAATGCACCATGCACCAAATGCTGCTCGTCTTCTATGTGAAATGAGAAATTCCATGTGACACTTTGATAGTTGAACAAACTCCTCAATGTTAACCGCGGTTTTGCCTCATTCTTTGTCTCGCTCTTTCCTTTCTACAGAACATCCGCTCCCATCCTTGGTTGTACCTGGTCAGGGAGCCTCCACAGTCCGTCTTTGAAATGAGCCATACTGCTTTGAAAAACGTATCCTAAAACCTCAGATCAGCGGGGCCATGGAAGAAGTGTGGTGCAGATTTTAACAGTGGTCACAGAGGGAAAGAAATAAACACAAGGCCTGACGACAGCAGAGTGGGGTGGGGGTTTAGCACAGCAGGGAGAAAAACACCTCTAGACAATTTTTTACTTGATTTGCCGAATTTGTGGTAAATATTAGTTAATGCAGTTTTAAAGTTTCCAGGTTCGCTGTGAGCAGAGAACCCATTATAGCATTTAGTGACAAATTATCCCCAATGGCCTGGAAAAACTGGAATAAGCAGGTGACTGTGTCTTCACTTAGTGTTCAAGGGATTTAAATGAGAGAAAAAGCAAAATGCAAAAGATTCATTTGAAACGGTCAGAGATAAGAGCAGCAACATCAAAGCTATTTGGAGCTCGAATAGCAGGGCTTCTTATGTTTGTCTGCATGTACGTTTTTATTCTGAAATATTGCCCAATTTTGTCAAATGATACTTTTATTTGGGTTCATTTTTTCCTCTTAAAATCCACCTTTGTGCGAGATTTTCCTCAGGTGCGTGTTGACCCAGCCACACTGATTGCTCTGTCACGGTAGGGTAATTGTTTGTGATTTAATATGGGGAACGACACAGGCTTCATCTCCCTGCTCCTCTCACCGTACACAGCCATACGGCCACAAACACACATACCTCTCATCTTTATGCGCCGATATAACACCTGATGATAAATTGCTCCAATTTTGATGAACCTAATGGGAAATTATTACCTTCACAAACCATGAGTAAAGAACCGACAATACATCCCACATCGCCAGGTCAGAGAGAGACAAAAGGTGAGAGCTCATCTCATTTTTCTCAGCTGTTCATTAAATCAAACATGGAACTACAGTAACAGCTTGTGCAAAAGGAGCATTTAAGCACAATATTACCATATGAAAATTAGTATGCCTTCATCCCTCAGCAGGCCAGGTCTCATCACACACTTTAAATGTTAATATTTTCTTACAGCAGTGTATCTGTAATTTAAGCAAATGATATGACAAAAGCAATTACATAGAAGGAGAAAATTTTGAATACCCAATGGGCTATCTGTCATCACACACACACACACACACTCACAGCCCAAACAGGAGTCAGCAAGGCAAAAAAAGTGGAGTATGAATAAGGTGAGGCAAGAAAGTAAAAGATAATGAGGTGCTTGAATCATAGGCACTTTCAAGCTCATTAAAAGAAAAAAACATTGCTTTGTGTTTTTCTCACTGTCAAACCTCATGGAAAGGGCAAAACCAACAATGTGTCTGTTCTCTCAATATTTTTTGACTGTTCTGAGGTACTCAGCCTCAAGCCCATTGGTTCCTACGCAAGATGTCTGACTAAACAGGAGTCAAACATACAGTATGTTCATTTTTTTCAAAAAGACTTTGTAATTTCCTAAAACAGCTGGACACTGTAATTTTTAGCCAAACTTTCTTAAAAACAAGTAAATTGCATATTTGTCTGGGACTATTTTCAGCTGTGATTATTACACATTAGGTGCCCTTTTGAGTATGCAGGAGAACAATGAATGTGGAACAGTCTCACAAACCAAAGTGCCCATGTTGATCGCAACAAACAAGTCACCAAGTGCAACAGTGTGGCACAACAACCGTGAAGTACATCGGCACAGAGGAATCAACTACATCTGCCTTTGGACAATACATCTAAATTTGTTGCATCATGTTTTCTGATGCAGTTTGTTTGCATAAACATTAGTGAAACATCCTTGTGTTCACATGTAACCAGCTGCAAAAATAGCTACTTTTTCATGAACTAAAATTGCCACTTCACGGTTGCATGCCTCCACCAACCAGTCAAATTCATTGGTATGGGACAGAAGTGAGGTCACTCATCTTCATGTTTGATGACCAAAATCTAATCTGTTCATGCTTGAAAGTTGACATTTGTGGCAAATTTGAAGAAACTCCCTCAACGTGTTCCTGACATATCGGCCGCGTACAGATGGACAAACAGAAGCCTGAAAACATAATTCTTCTGGCCACAGCTATCGCTGGTGCAGAGGTGAAGAAAGATTTATAATTTGTGAACATAAAATAGTTGTTCTGTACTTTTCATGGTCAAATAGTTATAGCTCTGCTGACTCTGGGTAACTGTAGCTTAGTAAAATTAGGAGTTTATAAAAATAGTTCCCTCTACCATTATTGTTGAATGGTTAAAAGTGGCTTCTCTCCATTTGATTTGATTTGATTTATCCATCTCAGACGTATTTATTTTCAAACCTTCAACCATGTTGAATCCAAGGACCTCCAGCAGATAGTTTCATTCTATAACTGTTTCTGCACTAAGCTTTTCAGCAATAAAAATATTTTATTTTGTCAAAAGAAATATACTGTAGCTTCTCACTCCATAAAACCATCACACCAATGTACAAGGGAAAATTGAATGAATGGAAATGCCAAGCAGAGCTGTAGTGAAACCAAATTGAAGACATCACTTTTGTTTGCCCAGTTGCATAAACTGTCCAACTGCATTTACAAAATCTGTCCCCAAACGTGACTGGTGACACACACACACACACAGTTTATTTGGCGCCATGTGTTTGCTCCCCCAGCAGCCACAGACTGTCCAACCCTTGGGTTGTGCCACTGAGATGCCATCTGCCACTGTGGCTCTCACCAGCTCAAGTGTTGTCAAAGTTGTGAAAGTAAAAATTACCATGGGTGACACTGACAGAGGTCAAAGCAAAGAAAGTTCACCTCGTGTGTTCATAAACCTCTTAACGCCACAACATTTGTCTGTTCGGCTATGACAAACCATAAATCGCTAATGTGGCTCCTCTGCAGTGCGAGGCTGATTCTAACAGAACTCCACCGGTGTGAATGTAATCGCGAGTGTATGGTCTCTTTACCAGCTGCTGGCCTCGCGGTCCCCATCCGGCAAACTGCAGAGCTGTGTCTTGCACCTCAGGGGGATTCAGAGACCAGGTTTCCCTGTGGAGACAACACATTAAAGAAACAATATCATATTTTCCTGTGTGTATATTACATAGCTGACTACAAATGTATAGTCACAGCAAGGAAGTCCTGGTTTTTCTTGTTCCTTTACTTCATCAATCATCCTCATTTTTTAAGCCCATGCTGACTGTGCTCAGCTCTCTACAAATACCGAACAGTAGGGAACTGAGTCGGCATCAACGGATGACTAAAAGCAGGGCAGGTTGAATGCAGCGTACAAAACTCAGCTGAACTGAAATGAAACTAGAGGTTAGTCTTACTGTGTCACAAGGCTGTAGATAATGTACTTGGCCACATAGGAGTGTTGGTAGATCTGTGAAAATAAGTAGCATCACAATCACACAAGGGTCAAATCTGGCACAATTACATGGTGTGAGGTGGCACTGACGTTTTCTCACCGGTTTTACTTCGAAGGCAAACAACACATGTTGCATGTCTGGAGACACTTGATACTTGGTAGCTCTGGCTCGATCCTGGATGGGATCAAAAACACATTTGCGTTAGTATCACACCCAGCAGAGCAGCAGTAGAGTGTATAGTCACTGCTCTTGAATTAAAATGCAGTTGATACTCACAAACAACTGGTTCGGCACGACAACTCTGCTCTGCATGGTGTCAGCGTTAAGCTTGACAATGTCTCCATCTCTTGTGCGATAAAGGAGCTCATTCTCTAAGAGATGGGAAAAATTCTAGATTACTTTTTATAGCATCTTGCTAACCTTCCTCACCTTTATCAGTTAAGTTGAATAAGCAAACTGCTATTTAATCTACAGACATGTATTTTTGGCCACTTAGGGGCAATGAAAACAAGTTCTAAACAACTACTGACACATTATCACTTGTTAAATTCATACGCCAAACTTGTCAACAGTTGCTTATTTACACAGCAGTTACAGAGCAACATTAGCATTCATTTGGAGTCATGTTTCTGGCTATACATTCATTATCCTTTTACACTCTCACTTGCTTTCCACCAGCTCCTGAGGGTGGAAATATCTTGCTGCTCACTATGTCTGTGCGCTGGTTGGTGCTGGGCAGGTTGTGTACAATGAATTTTGTTAAGAGTGTTTTCGCTGAAAACAGTTATAATATACGTTACGACAGTAAGTGAGCAAGCACTGAAGCTAAATTCAAGCAGTTCTTACTCTTGTTGTTCTGTGTAATCATGGCTTATTTGCCGACTGCTGGATCTGTTTTAGGGCCTCAAACGATCAAAACATCTCCCATTGTTAGACAGTCTCAGAAAAAGGCTGTGAGTATGTCATATATCCAGGACTGTTATAATGCTGCTGTCCTCATCTTCCTGCTCTGTTGACAACAAAACTGCCCCATCTTTTATGAGAAGCTCTCAGATTCCAGAATGGCTTTCTCTGGTTACCTTAAGGCTTAAAAATAAAGTGGTCCGAAAGTCAAGATACAAGATTTAACACTTTCATAAATGTTTGGCTGTCAAAGTGTGTTAGTTGGCAAGTTCAATTAAACTCTCTGGAACACAAACTCTCTTTTTAAGTGTGTTTTTCATATCAGTTTGAATTTTACAACCCCAAGATTTTCTCAGAAATAGCTAAAATGTGTTGCCTTATGACCAAACACGGGCAGAAGTACTAAACAAGTGGGTTAGTGTTGGATCCAAAGTAGATTCTGAGGGAAGTGATGTCTTTTGTGGGGCGACTTTGGTTCAGTGGGTAGAGAGGCCATCTCTCAACCGGAGGGTTGGGAGTTGGAATCTCGGTGCCTGCAGTCCACATGTCGAAGTGTCCTTGGGCAAGACACTGAACCCCCAAGCTGCCCCCAATGGTTAGAGCCATTGGTTGAGTTGGCGCCACAGATGGCTGCCTTGGTTCTGTACTGGAAACAAATTCCTGGTGTGTAACATACTTGGCCAATAAAGGTGACTTACACCACTTATCCTTTTTCGCCGTAGATACTGTAATGTTTGCCCTTACTCCAACCTCACCCTAACCAGTTACCTCTGCCTACTGCCAAGTTTTGGGAACTAACGTTTACCCCAGTAAATGTGACTTGAAGTGTCTGGCTCAGAACACACAATAGCAAAACTAATTTAGTTGCACCAGTTTGCAGAGTTGGTAAAAGTAACCAAGTACATTTACTCAAGCACAATTTAAAGGTATCCCTTTTTTGAGTATTTTCATTTTCTGCTACTTTATACTTCAACTTCATTACATTTTAGAGAAAAATAATGTACCTTTTACTCACTATATTTATTTGATGCCTTTAGTTACTTTACAAAATGAGATGAATAAAACAAAACACAGTATAATTATAAGATTTTACTGATCCCTGGTGGGAAATTCACAAGCTACCCAGCAGTATGTAAAGTACTTCAAAGTTAACATTAGCTTTACTGGCTGCACCATTAAATATGATGTACACAATAATTATAGTCCAATAAATATGATGTATATACATGTGTAATGTGCTATTCTACACAATGAGTACTATCAGTACTTTAAGTAGTTTTGATGCCAATACTTTTACTTAAGTAACATTTTGAATGCAGGACTTTTACCTGTAACAGAGTACTTTTACACTGTTGCTACTTTTACTCAAGTAAACAACCTGAGCACTTCTTCTACCACTGCCTGTCTGTGACTTCGGAAACTGCCACTTTGCAGAGCTTGTTCTGTTTGACTTTATGGACATTTTGAGTGACTACTGACACAGGCAATAGTTGATAACATTGGTGACTCCAGGATACTAGGAATGCTAATTAACCCCAGTCTGTTGCATAATAAGATCTGAGCTGGGAGTCATAATGGGCTGCAATGGCAATTTAGTTGCCAGAGTTGGGTCTTTTGTTTCATGAGTACATGCACAAAGATGTCCCCTGCTGATACCTTGTTTTCATTACTGAACAATATTATATTCTGTTATATTTCAAAAGTATGAGTGCGTGAGACAGACAGCAGCAGCAGCAGCTCTTTGTTTTTTAAATCAGTGTGAAGGTTTGATCCTTTGTTTTTGGATTCGAGTCTGTGTCAGAAACTCAGAGGTGAGTCCAAAGACTACTGAGGCAAGCAGTGATCAAAGAACAACAGGGATACGTTACACACCACTGTGAATAAAGCCCACAAAATATTGATGAGGACTACTGAAGTGCGAGGTTGTCCCACTGGACTTCTTATCAGAAGGTCGTTAGCGCCGAATGGGAGTTGACTGCGTTAACTGACAAGATGCAATGTCACACAATTGATTGCCAAGGTTTCATCAGGTTTTGAGGACGTTTTCATCACTGTTATGAATGAAGGGAACAGAAATACAGGAACTTGACTAATTACATGTTAATAAGCTGATAGTGGAAATAATCAGTGGAGCGTGTGCAACTATAGAACAAAAGGACAGATGTGAGGTCGTAATGTGTGTCAGCAGAAGAAGGACCAGAGTTTGCAAATGTTGCTGGTGATCATGTGAATGTAGTTGTACTGTACAACTGCATTCAGATGTGTTACGTGCAAGACGCCAGGTATATTCATGCATAAGGTGGTTATATACAAATGTGGCTGGTGGACCCTCTGATTTTAGCCGTGCAGTTTTAAAGTTTCTAGTTATAACTGCTTGCCTTGAAACGCAACTAAAAAACTTTTTGCTAATTGCTACAGACACTGAGGATCATAACAATACTGCATGTCTGGCACATCTCCACAGAAAAGTACAAACAGCTTTACAACACAGTAATAAAAGACCTTTTACAGTATAAACATCATCTGTAATGTTTATGGCTTCAAAGGAAATTAAGAAAAATAAAATCAATAAAATTGCTTGTTTGCTAAATTTGAAAATAGAGCTTTATAGTTGAACAGTGAAAAGCTTTAGGATTCTCATGATTTAGAAATTAATTCAAAGTTTTCGGTTTGACACATATTGTAGTCTTTAAATTACTATTAGTTTCATCTAATATATATAATCAGCTATGTATCATGTGTAATTACAACCGTATACAGAATGTACTTGTTGCTGAGCAACAACACCTGCGTCTGAAATCACTAAAGTGAGCAGTAAATTGAGATTTCAGACACTTTTGAATCTCCGTCATTTTGTGTCATCACTATAAGGGAAGTTTGATGGGCACTATACGCATGTTGCATGAATTTCCTACTCACAATAAAATAATACCACTGATTCAGATGGGTGTGAGCTCTTATAATACATGTAGAAATGAAGAATCTTAAGTTTCTCATGCAGAAACTGAAAGTTATTTCAAGTGCTTTTCCTGTCGAACACCAGAGGGCACCGAGTCAGCTGATCCAACATTTATGAGCTCAGCCAGCAGCTTCCTACTGGCTACCCTGTCAAGGTTACAGAGGCCACAGCAAACCCATTCTGTTCAGTCTGGACCAGCTTAAATTGCAACTAAAATATGCTGAATTTTTAGTACATAATGAAGGAGCTTGAAAATAGGTGCAGTTGTTTGCCATGGAGACAAAAACCACGGAAGAGAAATAAAGATTAACTCTGTGTGCAAGGCTCAGGTTTTCTGTCGTTAGCTTCAGAAAAAGGCAGGTTTCATGGTCTCCCTGTAGGAAAAGCCTTTGTTTGTTATGTAATTTACCTGAAACTGATAAAGTTCATTTTATTTTAGTGCTTACAAACTGCTTCACCTCTTCACTCGTTTCAGCTGTGTAACTACAGTACATGCTCCGACCTCTTATCCTCAGAAGTCCCATACCTTTTTTTAATGGAACAAATCTCAAACAACCAGGCTCCATCCTGGGAGATTTTAAAGCTTTACTTCCCAATAGTTTGATTTCTATTTTGTCACTTGATTGCTGCTTGTTTGCCGTTACTCAACTTTTTTTGTGGCAAATTTTATTTGTATGGCTTCACAAAGATGTTCTTTGTTTTCACTGTAATACGTTATATGCTCTTTTCTGACAAATGTCTTCATACGTTTTGTTTTAACAGGAGTCAGACTAAATATAAAAAAGGCAAACTAATCACTCACTGTTGAGCCATTTGGCATCTGGGTCATGGATGTGAAAGTCTGGACCAAAAACATCCTCAACAGTCACTTTCTTCTTAAGGGCGAGGCTGTCGTCTTCGCCTGTCGAGAGCATCATCAAAATATGAACACTCGTAAACTTAGTATGATGTACAGAGGCTCAAAGAAAAAACCTGAAAATCATTTGACTTTTTATGCTGCTTTGTCTAGGGGTCCGCATGCAGACACACCAGAGACTGTCAGCATCTCATAGTAATATCCTCCTCTTCTTTCTCTGAAGATAGTATCTCAAACAACTATACCCCAGTATATCTAGAGCAATTTAGAACAAGTTACAAACAAGAAAGAGGCCCCTGATATTGTGCTCTGACTTTGAGAACACTGTCTCCCCCCCCAAGCAGCAAACGTTTGGTCTTCCATCCCCAAAACTCAAAATGAGAACTGAAGCCGGCAGCTCTGAGAGCAGGCGACAGAAGAACACAAGCAAGTTAATGTGGATGTGTACCACACCTTTACTCAGAAAACAACCATTAGACACATGCTGTCACAATGGCTGCCAGCCCAGTCTTATTGTACAAAACAGTAGTTGACAGATTCTTCGGCAGGTGTCACGCTGTAACTGAGAGGAGAGGTCTGAGTGTGTAAATACCACATCAGACATTGTCAAGTGTTTATCAACTTGAATAATCGAAGATATTCTTTTGTCTGGCAAGAAGCTGCAGAGTGTGAGGAGAAAGCCAATTTCCAGGTAAATGGCATCTCTGACGGTATATCTGTGCCAATCTGACAAATGACTGGCGCTATTACCGCATAATCATTTCCATTAAACAGGCTTGAATGGCATTGCACATTAAAAGGCCCATTACCTAGTGAGACAATGACTCCGCCTCTGTGTAAAACCGGTACGCTATCACCAACCTTGAGAAACCATGTCATTCATCTGTCTAACCTTGCCCCGATAGAAACAAGTTTATCAAATTAAAATATCTGCCTGCTCTGCGAGAAGAAACAGAATCCTGAAGAAAGGGGTTTTATCTGATGCAATACTGAATTTAATACTGAGCATTTGTGGAGAATGAGTGTATACCCAGGCAGCAAACACTGGAATAGGGGTGTGTGGATATGCTTCCCTCCACTGGCCTTGGTTGCTTCACAGATTTTAATAGAGTTTGGTGTCGCATTAGGCCTTGGCTCATGAACAGCAAAGATGACGATCCAGATGGGTTTTTGCAGCATTTTCAACATCTGGCACAGTATATGCCATGACAGTTTAGCTTTTTGTGTATTTTGATGGATACTGGGTTCCAGATGTAAAGGTGCAGAGTTTCTAAACATTTTTCTATCATTGCAATAATTAGTTGAGAGGACTGTACATTTTTGGCAGATGTATGTGGTCTCAGTCTCATCAGAGGTGTAAAATGCTTTAGCTTTTTACAGGCTGTGTAGAATACAGGTATACTGAGTCCAAGTGTGTGTGAGTGCATACTGTTTGTGTTGTTACCACTGCCAGGGAAGTTATATCTTTGTTTGAACATTAAAGTCTGTTAGTGGCAATACGTTTCCCATGTGGTTATAAATCACAACATGCAGAATTGTCCACATTCAAGGCAATTTCTAGGATTAGCTGATGCACATTAGATATTTCTAAGCATTTTCTAACAAGAGAGCTTGGAAGTGTGTACACTCTAATTGCTATGTAGCATACATGTTTGTGTATCTATGTCTACATACGAGGGGTCAGCAGAATGACAGAGGTGACAATCAGGGAACAGATGATGAAGATGACCAGCAAGGCAATGGCTATTCCCTTCCAGTTCCTCTGAGCCGGCGCACTCCCCACCAGGTCCTGAAAAAAATATACATAGCATACTTTACAGTGATGCAAACACATGCCAAAATAATACCTTTTACAGCCAACAAACAAAATGATTTCACTGCTGCAGGCTAAATCGATTCCAGTGTATTGTACAAAATGTTGACATGCATAGGTGATGAGTTTCAAAATGAATGATACACATCGTTCTACAGCTCAACTGATCATACTTAAGACAGATATACTGTATTTTGTACCATCACCATTGAGAGAAATTAGCTGGAGGACAGCTCATTCTGAGAGACAGATGCTGACAGGGCAGCCTCTTGTGTGCAATAACTCTGCATCCTATAGCTGCTCGTACGCAAGGCGTCTCTGCAGCTTTGCGCGAAAAATGGAGTGGTGCTGTCGCTTCAGCGCAGATACAACAGGCAGAACAATGAGCCGCTCTCCTCACACAGCCCAGCAGATGGCTAATCAGCACTACTGGAAATAAAATATACTGCAAAAATCCACAGGATGTACAAAACATTTTGAACACACCAGTGTGGGAGGAAGCAATCAGGTGGCCTCTGGACACTGACTCTGAAACACTGATCTGAAACGGTTTATATCTGCATGCTCTTTCAGTGGTTTTACTGTGCGATTTCACCGGGGTAAATACGCAAACACATCGTTCACTCTTTGACACTGTGTCTGTGCCAAGCAATAGGAGCAGATAGTTGTCTTGAATAACTGTAGCTGTGGGTGAAAAACCTCTCAAACTCCAGGCTTTTCTTTTACTCCTGGGCTTGTGGCATTGTCACTACATTTCTCATGCAGACGCATCATACATAGTTATTTTTCAGGACAGGTTACACTATTCAGAAATACCTTCACTTGATACATGAGTGGCACTATACAGTAGATGTCGTAGGACAACGGTTGTTAAACCGTTCTGTCCAAACCCCACAGTCATGACAGATGAATTCAAGTGCTGCTTCTTCAACAGCACCACTAGGTCTACATGTCATGTTGTTGATTTCAAGTAGTTTTAACACTTAATGAATTAAAGCAGATACAGTATTTTTCAACTATTTATTCATTATTTTAAGCCATCTACACTATTGAACTGTTTATTTCCTTCAGCTGACTACTTCAATTGCTTATCCATTACTTTTATCTAGCCGTTTCATACCATTTAACTTCTACCTTTAGATAATTATTCTAACTTTTTATCCATTATGCTACTTTTAGCCATGGACAGATCATGGGACAGTGGGCCCCTGAGCACAGACACTGTATGTAAAAGACGCACCACCTCTTCTACACTTCAGGAACTAGACTCAGACTGAGCAACTGCATGATGTAGTCATGTTTTTTGCTGGTTGTGTCCCTTTGTAGTTGTTTTGCATCTATATTTGTAGCCACCATGTCAATTTCTTCTCATTTTGCATCTATTTTTACTTGTTCTGTTTTTGTTTTTATATTTTATTTTATTTTATTTTTTATCTCTTGGTGCATCATTGCATCTATTTTTTTCTCATGTGGCTTTTTGCAGACATTTGATTGGCTTTCCAATAGAAAGGTTAACAGTCCTTTCACAGACCCCTGGTCTAGGGGCCCCCTGGCTCCTTGGGCCCCTGGCCCTGAAGTCTATATATGCTTTTAGCCAACTATTTAAACTGTTCATTAATAATTTGAATGTTTCAACAGTGCAACTTTTTAAACTTTTAAAACTGTTTACAAGTTTTAAATTATTTGAAATAATTATCCATACATTTAGTAAACGATTACAACCCATTATCTGCTACTTTCAAATTCAACCATTTTGCTTTTTCACCATTTTATTTAAAGGTTTATCAGTACCTTTGGGCTCAACATAACAGCTTACCCAATACTTACCCATTATTTTTACTGTTATTAATCAGTTCATCTGCTAATTCAGCCGTTTATCTAACACCTTATGCTACCCGTTGTCGTGTCTTGTCACCTCTGGATGCCTGATCTCATACACCACTAGGCTGCACAGTTGTAAGTTAATGTGATGAGGGTAGAGAAGAGATTCAAGATGGCTGAAGTTACAGTTATAGCTCACAATATGTTTTATAGGCTTGTTTTTTTGGAATTGTTAACACGTGTCTAAGCAGTTAAGTAAAGGATACTTGTTTGACACTGCAGCTTCCTTTATTCATTGGCTACACAACAGCTGTTTCACCTGTTTCATCCTTTAATTATGCAGCTTTAAACTGTCAACTATGTATTTCAACCATTTAATTGTTCTAGTTTATACTTTTCTGCTCACTAGTGCAGTTTCAAACACACCACCTAGGCTATCCTAAATTCTATAGTTTCATAATAGTTGCCCTACTGCACAATCCTTCCCCCAACCCCGTGTCCATACACACACACACACACACACACACACACACACACACACATCTCTCCGGTCACGATCAGTGAGGCAACTGACCAGCTCCATCCACCCATATCAGTCCAGCTGTTGAAGTTCTTGTAACCAATTAGACCTGGTTCCCGTCTGCCTATATTCAGTGGCTTTACAGTAGACAGTAATTCAATGAACCATCTGGAGGTAAATGAGGTGTGTGTGTGTGTGTGTGTGTGTGTGTGTCTGTGCACATACAGTACATATGACAGTGTACATTAGAAGTTACCTTTAAATATTTAAAGCGTATACATGTGCGTGCGTGTACTTTGTCTGTGCACCTATTGACTCACAGCAAAGCAAATCAATAGTGAAAGCAGTGAGTACACAAAGAAGAGCAGATACATCAGTAGGCTGATTTAATGCTGCAGAGGTAAGGTGTTTTGTGATAAGGTGCACAGAGTTGTATATTGCAGTCATAAGATGTTTATCACCCAGTGTTATCTTACTGTAATAGGAAAGATATGCTGTTAAAGTTGCCTTTGATATCATCACTTTAGATCTCTGGCAAAAATAAAACAATCAGATGCTCTGACAGGCGTGCAGATAACAGCCTTGTTCCTGCATCTGCTTACTTGTCGAGCCACTTAGTGCTGGCATTGAGTAAGATTTTACACACTGTATGATAAAGTGAAAACGGGACAGCACCCGGTGTCTCTCTGCCATGGATGGATTACTGAACGGGCCTATCAGGCACAGACCCAGGGGGTCAAAAGGTCTTGGGGGGCCTTAGACCAGAGAACTGTGAATGGCCTGTTAACCTTTCTATCAGAAAGTCAGTCAAATAAATAAAACACTAAGAGACATAAAATGACTGGAAAGAGAGACCGCAAAAATGACTACACTATTTTGAGATAATCTGGAGTGGAGGGGAGGTAGGGGTCTTTCACATGTCTGTGCCCAGGGCCCTGTTGTCTCGTAATCTGTCCATGACACTCTGCTGCCTGCAGCTCTTCTGCTGTTATTCTGGCTTTTCTGAACTGTTTTCAGAATACAGCCAATCAGCCCCATCTGGAACCTAGCGAAGGTTATAAAAAGCACTTTTTAACCACTAGTAGTCAAACAGCACCATGGAGGATCTCGTCTGCTGAAGTCTGAAACAGTGGTTGCCAGACTGAAGAGTTTCTTTAGCACACTGTGACAAAGACACAAAAAAACAGGGTTGTTTTTAAGATGACCACCATTAAAAGCAGCCAAAGGACTCAAACATGATTCAGATGCGATGCCGTTCCTTCTCGATGCTTTAGCATCTAAGGTTCTGTTAACATTAGCAAACTATCATGTTCATGATTTTGCCTTTGTAATATTATAATTTGAGCTTTGTGTCACATTATCAGTATCATGATTGTTCTACTGGACTTACTCGTTACTCACCTAACACTAGCTTTAACCTGGAGGCTGCATTCTGGTGCAACCATAGTTGATGTGTTACTAGGAATCAGGACATGATGGGATTGTCAGAGAGCTATTAGGAGCAGCCAATAGCGTCAGTATGTTTTGCGTCTCACTAAACCCTCTAGTGGCTGAAAAGAAATTTGGCAGAGCAACTTGAAATACATCCCAGTGCAGCCTGTACCTGACTGAGATGTACAAATCCATAAACGTAACTGGATTCATGCCACATCAGAAGAAAATCATCCGTCAGAAGAATATTTCCAGACACTTAGATGACAGCCTGGGAGGCATATGAGTAAATATTTAGTTCCAATAATTTTTACACTTTTTAAAAATACTGGAGCAAAAGAGACATGAGGTAAAATTATTTCAGACACAACCCACTTTTTGAATCTTAAATACATCTTCCACAGGCCCAGTGGGTTAATTCAGGCTGTTTAAATGTAGGATCCAAACAACTTGACAAACATCAGTAGTTCCCCCTACTGTGCTTGGCATTTCTGTAAACAGATGTGCAGTTATTCAATCCGAGGCCACACAGGCTCAGGTTTCCCCACATTTCAAATCAACCCAATACAAATGGGCATTTGCCTTTTTTTTTATAAATCAGCATCAAGTTTAAGCGGATATGACCATTAACCTTTGGCATCACAATTCTTAAACGTATCAACTTGTTTATTGTACAGTACTGTGACAAGCTAAGACATGGTCAACAGCTGTCACTGCTTTGAAGGTACCTACTTAACTAAAAACAGCAGAGTACACCATTAAAAACAAGCATGAGGAGTTTGTTTACTGAATGTTAGGCCTCATTTTTTATTAATAAGACACAAATTCTCTTTGTAATTGACCATAGTCCCCTGGGAGCAACTAGAATCTTTACAAATGCACACCTGTAGTATAGGAAGGGAAAAGACTGTTGATACTGTAAAAATAGTCAATATAAAACTTTATAATAATTTTTATTTTGAACAACTATCATGCTTATTTCTCTCTTATTTCTCCCTCACTGTCTGGAAACTTCAAGTTTCAGTGATGAAACACTCCATCAGGAAGCTCCGCTTGTTCATTGTCTTTCTTGTCAAAGACAGCCACCTGCCCCCATGTTGAATCAATGTACTTTAAACTACTCAAAAGTAGTGCCATTTACTTTAAAATAGCACTGTCCTCTCACGCAATCCACCGTCTTAGCTCTGACTGCTGTATCCATGCA